TTAGATACAATTTTTTCAAGAACTGTAAAGCGAATTTTGAATCCTTGGGACATCATGTCCTCATCATTGGCACTTGTGTCCCCCACCCCCTTTCTGGATCCTCCTGTTAAAAGTAAAAAATTCCTGGGAAGTCGCTGCCAAGGGAATACAGAAGACTCTATCTTTAAATCTAACACAGCATGCCAGATCCAGTTAGGTGGGAGCAGACTTAAGCACCTTAAATATAAAGTGTAACCAGAGAACTGTTATTTTTTATCAACCATGGGCACTTCAGGGGTTAAATCTCTGTAGAGTGTTGACAGGCAACAGTTATACTTTTATAGTGAACATTTAGCATCAATAGTTATATATATATATATTAGCATAACATAACAGTCAGGGTGCCGGGGAGATGGCTCAGTGGAATAAGTGCTTCCCTGGCAAGTGCAAGGGTCTGAGTTCAATTCCTGATTCCGGCGCCCCCCCAAAAATCAAAACAAACATGGAAAACAAACCTCATGAGGCCTTTGGCCCAAGACGAATCTAGGAATGTTTATCTATGAGAAAACAGACTCTCTCAGTGAGAGAAACAACATGTCAATAGTATCTCAGGAATACTCATCTGAGATAGATTGACATAACTTTCACATCTGGAAGTTAGGGCCCATCAACATCAGCCTCGAGAGAACAAAAGTCAATCACATCTTGTTTAGGTCAGAGTAAGGCCTGTTTTTTGTTGTTGTTGTTGTTGTTTGTTTGTTTGTTTGTTTGTTTACATTGCGGCATTCTGTTCCTTTAGCCATTCTGGGCAGTTAACTGAAATCAGCTTTGGCGCCAAAAACCACCCAAAAGTGGCTCACAGGCATGGAGGCTGGGCAGGCCTTTTCTAAGAGTGTCTTGCTCCTGGGGATCCTGAGGCTCATTGTCTGGAATCCTGGAAATGGTCAAGAATACTTTGCAACGGTGACAAAGAAGCAGAAGTGGTCTGACCCATAATTACAAACAATACAACTAACAGACAAGGAACAAAGACAAAACCAAACCAAAGACAAATCTAATGCTCCAGTCCACTGTTGTGGAGGGGAGCAGAGTTCAGGGGATTTATGTTGGGTCTAACTCTTCCTGTGACTCACAAAGGGGTGCCCCAACAGAATAAAAAGGCTCTTACCAGCAAGAGGTTCCAAATGATTCGTGTTTTCTCTGAATCAATAAATAATTTGAAAACTTTCGGAGACCTGTATAAGTCTGGGGCTGAAGAATTTCCCCAGATTACAGTTCTCCAGATAAAAAACTGGTTTCTAGTTGATCCCAGTGAATGGGATCCCAGACGAGCCCCCAAATGTTATGGGTGCTCAACATAGAAACCAGATCTGAGTCTAAATTAAAATTGAAATATGAGCCCTTTATTACAGGGCCCAGGACCACTTGACCACAGTCATGCAGGAGAGGACAAACAGCTAGGAGCCTTAGAAGTATAGAGGTTTTAAAGGTAGTAACCGCATCCTGTTGGGCAAACAAATTTGTCATTTAGCATAGAGCAGTACCTTTAGGGACAGCATGACCATTACTCAGCATACATTTTTTCCAGGAGCATTGTTTTTTGGGAACTCTCAGTCTATCGATGATTTATCAACGGTACACCAAGCCTCCTTGCAGTCTTACAGGGAAACAGGGTCACAGAAAGTCGAGCAGATTAATTTTTTACATTTAGTTTTACACTAACTCATCACATTACTTTTACATTAACCCTTTACACCTGGAGGGCCTAATTAAGCTAGAAATGAATAGAAAGCAACTTGTATGCTGCCAGGGGCAAAAGAACGAGGGGGATAGGCTGTAGGTGAGGCTCCTGTGAGAATACTTTTTCAGATCCTAATTTGTTAGATTGCCACCATATCTCAGGGATCATGATGTTATTACTGACAAATGACAAAGAGAAATCGCATGTCTCATTAATCAAGGGACCTGAGAGTGACTGTGTTGCCAAGTGCACACTGCAGGATCCCTGAGAGCAGGAACAGCAGGCATCGGGTGCCTCCTGATGACAAGTCCTTTTTTTTGTTTTGTTTTGTTTTGTTTTAACCAGGGATTGAACTCAGGCCCTTGCGCTTGCCAGGGAAACACTTACTCTACTGAGCCATCTCCCTGGCCCCCTGATGACATGTAATGTTCACTTTTACCACAGCCTTGCCGGAAATGCTTTAAACACAATGGAGTCGTTTGGCCTCGGCTCCAGTTTATGGGTGTATTAACCAGCTTTCCTCTGCTAAGACAAAATACCTGACCTATAACTTAAAGGGAAAGATTTATTTTGGTTCCAGAGGATAAACATGATGGCAGAGGAAAGCAACTTGCCTTGTGGCAGCCAGATGCAGGGAGAATACGCCGCGAATACACTGACAAAGGCAGGAAGAGGCTGCGCACGAGGACACAGCCTTCCAGGTTGTGCTGCAGAGAGCTAGTTCCTCCAGTTGCACCCCCTAACAGCACACTCCGCTATGAGTTTACTGGTGGGTGAATCAGCTGATGAGGTTAATACCCCACGATCAGCTCCCCTTCCATAAGCCCACCTCTGAGGACATGAGCTCTGGGAACACTGTCCAGCTAAGTCCAACAGTGAGAAACAGGACATAGAGAACTAAGGTGAATGACACTACAAAAAAGAGTCAAACAAGTTAATAAGCTGGAACATTCTACGAGATGACTAGCCTGGTCTTTTTCCAAAAGTCAATGTCATTAAAAAACAAAGTAGGAATGCTTTGTAGTAGAGTTTAACAACCAACTGTGATACATAAACTTTGTGGTTTTTTTTTTCTCCAGAACCAGGGATTGAACTCAGGCCCTTGCACTTGCCAGGCAAGTGCTTAACCTACTGAGCTATCTCCTCGGCCTCCATAAACTTTGATAGAATTGTAATTTTAAAAAGAACCACGATGGGGGACGCAGCTCAGTGGTAGAACACTGGCCTAGAGCGTGTGAGGCTCTGGATTTGAGCCACAGCATGGCAGCAGACGGACAAAACAAATTTAAAAAACCTCGTAGAGTATCCTCTTTCATAGCTCATGTACTAAAATTGGGAGGATACAGAGAAGCTGAGCAGGGCTCCTGGGCAAGGACGGCATGCGGTTTGTGAAACATCGCATCTTTTGCCATAAAGAAGAATGAAGTCGTGCTATTTTCAGGAAAACAGATGAACGTGTAGGATATCATGTTAAGCTAAATAAGGCGATGCAGAAAGACGAGTATAGTTTATGTGGTTTTCATATACATGGAAACAAAACAAACAAAAAGACCTGGAAGTAGCCGACAGAGTAACAGGAAAGAGGAAGGTGGAGGAGGAAGGAGTGAGAGAAGATACAAGGAAGGTAAATACAATCACAGACCTGGGTAGTGAGTATAACAGTGATCGTTACTGTTCTTTTAGCTTTTCTGTACTTTTGAAACTTTTCATACTAATGTAGAAAAGAAAAGAAGCTAATGTATAGTCTGGGTCATTTTGAGAGGGACTGTGTGGGTTGCAGGCAACACTTAAAAAGTTTGTTCCTACGGTTGGTGAGATAGCTCAATGGAGGGCCAGCCAACTAGCTCAGCATATTAAAGTGCCTACTTAGGCAGACGCAGGGGCCGGGAGGTCAATCCCCTGGCCTGTGGTGCTGGCCCTGCCCCCAGGGCTTGCTAAAATAGCGACTGAAACTGGATGTGGTGGTGCGCATCTGTAATCCCAGCACTTGGGGGGCTGTAAACAGGAGGATCACTACAAGTCTGATCTGCACAGTGAGACCCTGTACACCATGTCCTAAATACAAAAAGGAAAAAAAAAGATAGCTCAATGGACTAAGCTCCTGCTTTTGCAAGCACAAGGGACCAGAGTTGGATACCTAGTCCCACATACTATGCCAGCCCCGTCTCTGGGCACGCTGAGCTGGAGACCAAGTCCAGGCGTGGTGGCCCTTGCCTATAATCCAGCACTGGGAAGGCTGCAAACAGGAGGATCACTGTGAGTCCAAGCTGCATGGTGAGGCCTTGTACCAAATACATTAAAAAAAAAAAAAAAAAAGTTTGATCCCTTCAGTCAGTTTCTTAGCACAGCCAGTTCTGTCAGGGGAAAGTCTCTTCCAACGCCTGTCTCCAAGAGACAGCTTTCTGACCCTGAATCACGATACCTGACAAACAACTTAAAGGAAGAAAGGTTTATTTTTGGCTCACAGTGTCAGGGTCTTAGTCAGTGGTGGGTGACATCATCGCTTTCACATATAACAATTGTGAGGGAGAAATCTTGAGGGAGAAGGGCATTTTGGGGGACACCTGCTCATCTCAGGCAGGGAGAAAGTAGAAAGGGGAAGGGGAAGGGGCCAGGGAGCAGATACAGACCCCAGGTCACACACCCTCGTCCCACCCAGAAGCATGCTTGACTGATCTGCTAGATGCTTCTCAGGCCAATCGAGCTGACAAACAACATCAGCCAACCGTCACAGAGGGCAAAGTCCAATTGGCAAGCATATTGGGTGAGAGGAAAGATAATGTGTGGAGAGAAAATTCTCAAAATTTGGTGTATGAAGTTTTCTTTTTAAGTGCAAGAACTCTGACCCCCAGTAATACTTTGTTTTTTTCATGGACCAGAGATCCATTGTTTCGCCCTTTCCAGAGACTGTACCTCTGGTTTTCTGTGGCTAGGGGGTGAGAGGAGGGACAGTGACACCACTGAGCAAAAAGGACAGTAGCTTCTTAAACACACTCACAATAAATCACCCCAAGCCAGCCATGGTGGCACACACCTGTAATCCCAGAACTCAGGAGGCTGAGGCAGAAGAATTGTTCTGAGTTTGAGACCAGCCTGAGCTATAGTGTCAGCTCAAGGCCAGCCTGCATAAAGTGAGACCCTGCCTCAAAAACAAAGAAAAACAAATCACCCATTTGTAGCTCCAATGTCACCTGTGCTTCCAATAGGATTTGTTGCTGCTGTTGCTGAGTTCTTGGGTGTTTAGATTTGCAGTTCAGTGGGGTACTTACCTATCTCCATTGCTACTCAAAATGTGTCTTTTCAGTTGTGCCCAGTTACTACTATTTGGCCATCCAGAAAGGTTCAGCTTCCAAGACGTTGCTATTATTGTCTCCTTTTCTGTTTTCCTTGTGGGCTTCTGCATTTTTTAAAAAGTGCACTTCACTGCTATTTTATTGGGATTTCAGGAAACAGCAGATGCTAACGCTGCCTCATCCTTTACTAGAAGCTGACTGCTGTTCTCTAGTCTCTTTTCCTCATGGGCTAGTCAGAAAGTTATCCATTCTCTCTATTCTTTTAATGGGCTATTCTTTTTTTTTTTTTTTTTTTGCGGAACTGGGGATTGAACTCAGGCCCTTGCGCTTGCCAGGGAAGCGCTTATTCCACTGAGCCATCTCCCTGGCCCCGGGCTATTCTTAAAATTTTAATATTTTCACTTTGCCTAACAAGTCTAAAGGTAATCAATATACCTTTCTTCCTGATAGATGATACAAGAGCTATGAAATGTTTCAACTTTGATCTCTTCTTCCTCATTTTTTTAAATTTATTTTTTTTCCCCCATTTTTTAAAAAAAAATGTATTTGGTACAGGGTCTACAGGGCCTCACTATGTAGATTGGACTCGTAGTGATTCTCCTGTTTTCAGCCTCCCAAGCTCTGGGATTATAGGCGTGCGCAGTCTCAATCACTGTCTCAGTGCGTCCCAGGGG